ACCCTATTCCTTCGGCAGCAATTTCAGCCCTAAACACGTGAAATCGTCTACTAATTCAAATGGGCGTACTCTGGACAGAATTCCTCCTTCGTCTCCTTAGCGTTTAAGGGTAGATCGACTGGTAGGAGGGGCGCTCACCGACCGTTCTTGCGGAACTCATTCGTTTCGTTGTGCCTTGCGGGCTCTCTCTCGAGCCCAACCAGCAGCCGCACAGCGGCGCATGATATAGGCAGAAGGGTATTACCGACAGAGACTAGGGAGACTGAAATGGCCATTTCTGGCCTATTAGCCGTCATTAGCCCGTCATACCCAACTCCGAAGTGTTGGACACTCGAGGCTCGAACTCGCGACCTGTTAGTTTGGCTTCATTATCCGTTACAGGGACTCAGCTGGAGCATAATCAAATCAGACGAAAGTGGGTTCTCGTACTTATGTCGGGGTTCAAGAATGTCTTTTCATGGGAGTACTGGATCTAGTCCTCCTGATGCGCAGTCTTTGAAACCACCTAGGAATTAGCAGAAACGACACCATGGAATAAATGCACAACCAGGAGACAATTTGCGTACAATATGGTGATCAAGTCATACGGTCGGGACGGAGGTAATGTAAGGCCCCTGAGGCGTGTTACAGACCTATGGCTAACTGTACGGTCCAGCTTAACTTCCCAGTCTCTTGTCTCTCTACTGTCATATACAAGCCCCTCTTTGCTCTGGATGTAGCTTGAAGGACCTCGACAGTCCTATAGGTACACTAGAAAAGACCGAAATTCATCTTCGAATTTGTGCAACTAATTCAAAATGTCCCAGTTGGACAATGGGCTAACTGCTATTGTGCCCTATAGTATAAAAGAAACACTGAATTGCCAAATGCCGTAGTCTGTTGCTCACAATAGCGAAGAACTTTACATTAAAATAAACATAACCTGAGTAAACTCTTCTTTTAAGCTTACTTTAAAACATTAATCTTTCAGTCGGATTAAAAAATGAATTTATCAGAGGCAATCTGAGCCTCATCCCGGCTACACAACTGGTCAAATAAAATAGTTTAGGCAATAGTCACTAAAGGCGATCGCTCAGGCGTTTAGAATGACCCATACCCAACCAATGGGGATGCAGAGACTGATTCGAACATTTATCGATTACGGAAGCGCGACCCGTCAAACGCAGGAAGTCGCACGTTCGTAAGTCAGGGCGGAAGCATGCGGAACTGTCGTCAGAACACGAAAGGCGCCTATGTGTACTCCAGCCTGCCCGTTGCAAGGGGGGACAAGGGGGTCTACAGAAATGCACAGTAAGTCGGCTAAACACACATTTATACTTTGGTTTTCCGCCTCAAAAGCGTCTTTAATCACTTCGCAAGTAGCCATCACTACTTCATACCAGGTGTCCTGCACGTCCTATGTAGCCGCAACCTGTGTCAGTACAGTAGGTGGGCCGAATCATGAAATATCAAACGAAATTCCGAAATTTGTTTTCGTTGCAAAAAGATTAATGACGTAGGCTTGTAAAAATAACGATCATGCAGCATAATTCTATAATAATTCAGTTACCTCAGGATGCCGGCTTTCGAACAAACTTCTTTCAGGCGGCAGTGGACAGGTCTTGCGATCTCTATCATACCTGAAATTACACCATCATCATAATGACTGAAGTTTCAAACCATCAGGGGGGCCATTCTGACGAAGGGAACAAGTAGGAGCGTGGTAATGATAATTTCGTTCACAGCGATAAATTAAGCGCCGTTCTCCATATTTACGAAATGATGTCAGAGGTGAAGTTGCATAGGTGAGAATGGCGACGATTAAGATATCCCAACTACCAACTACATTCTCACCTTTCACCGCACAAACGTTTACGGTACTACTTTTACTCATATTACATGGTTGCCCGCATTCAGTTTTCTCTGTTTAAATATTTGGACTTATCTCGATGTGGAAACGGCTCATTACGCAGCCAGAGAAGTGCAAAAAACCGGCTACTGCATGGTCAATGGGCGGCGTGTACGGTTGTCCTACGAGTAACCGCCTGAACTGTTTATAATCTCACGGTCTTGCTCGGGAGTAAGCTTGGATTACGACAATTCGACCGCCGATATCGACGATGTCCACTGTGTGCCTCATAGGAGAGTGGGTGTGAGGACAGTGATTTGCATAGGAATTAGTTCATAGTGGTGGTGGACTTGCGCTGCATCTGCTGCACCCTCTCTTCCCTCTCACCCATCCGGGTCTGGTGTCATGACAGAGCGAAGAGAACCTGAGGCGGTGTCGGGCGCAGATAGTTGGCGTGACGTGAACCCGCGGCTAGGCGTGCCACTACACCCACTGGCCCACGCGCTAAGGACCAAGATTTCAGACTGCAAGAAAACGGGGGGAGTGGGGGACAACTTGAATCTCAACTGAGTCGGAGTGCCATTAAGGTCGTATCGTGAAGGAACCATTGCAGCCTGACTTCGTGCTGAGAGGTCCAAGTTTGTCCGTCAGTTGAAGCCTCTCCAAGCCACGGTTTTTAGCGCACCATGGTGGTTTATGAGCACATCAAATTGTTTATTGTGAAGAATATGCATCTGAGTGCTGTGAGACGGAGATGAAAGGGTCGACCACATTCTCTCTCTCTTCCCCTCCCAGGCAGCAGTCGTCTAATGGCAGAGCTGACAGAGCTAGAGAGCACTCATAGTTATCACGTGAGCGTGCAACACACACATACACACAACACAATTCGGCTAGATCGCAGTTGGTAGCCAGGAATGGGGAAGCAGACGGCGACCTTAACCCGAATCCTGACCTTAACTCTAACCCTAACCTCAACTTTAAACTTTAACCGTTAACACTAACGACAACCCCAACCCTAAGCGAAATCGTAAACGTAACCGTAGCCCTTAGGCATTGCCGTAAAAGAAAAACCTAACCGCAATACTGAAACCTAATCGTACGTTCAAACCCCAACCGTAACCCAAAAACCTAAGCTTAAAGGCATAACCCTAACCCAAAAATCGGAAACAATCAACCGGTACCCTACTTCTAACCTCAGACGTAAAACGGAATCCAAGTGGGTCAGACGCCATTACGTAGCCCCACAAAAAGCCCCAGTAAACAAGCCCCAGCCACCTGTAATACGGGGCCAGGCTATCAACTGTTATCTAGCCCACAGTTCAACCGCCGTTGCCGAAGATGTTCATCGTATACTCATGTAAAAGATAAAGCAGGCAAGGTGCCATGAGAATGAATAAGCTTATAATGAATGTAGACTTGCACAGCATCTACCACACTTTTTCGTCCTCCCCCACCTGGACCCGGTGTCGAGACACATTCAAAAAGACTGAAAGCGGGGGAGGACGCGGATGGATGGTACGGTCAAGTCCGCACCTTGGCGTCCCACTCCACACTCCCTGGTCCGCACAGAAAATGACTAGGTTTTTAACCAACAACAACAAGGGGAGGCAGCAGGAGTCCCAGTGTGCGCGACGTCTGCCTGCAACCGAGTCTGCCATAGCACCCCGAAATGTCGGCATTTGTTATGGTGCGCAATCCGATAACGCCAACTAGAATCCGATATGGCCGCCGTATTGGTCCAGCGCATCTACCATGTGGCCCGTTTTGGGGACACACACCCACCAGCGCACCAGGATTTCGCACAAAGGGGCTCAACGGTTCAAATCCCACATGCATATGATTGTCATTCAGGCCACACTGACAAGGAGCCGTGCAGCCTGGCCTTCAGTCAACCTACAATATACGGGCACGAGCTGGATGTGCCATAGGCTGACGAATTGTAACACATCGCTGCTCACACCTTCGAAACTCGTCCCGAGTTTAAATCTACAGCCGCCGTAGTAACCGCTTTAGGCGGCGATCAAGATAATTCCTCGTTTGATTGGCACGTAGACCTCTGATGAGCGCTTATACAATCAGCACATCAATTCTGAGTCCGCGCACTGCGTTCTGTGCAGTTACCTCCACATTTGCGACACTCTAAAATTATCACTTGTTCTGTTTTTGATGTACTTTCTGACGATGGACTCCTCCACGAGTTCAACTGCTCAGACTCTTTTCTCCTCATGCAAACTTTTTTTCTTTGGCCGGACCAGGGTCTGTGCGCCAAATAGTGTGAAGATAATTGCACCCAGTGGTAGACTGTAGGCCAGGAACCATGAATCAGACAGATCGCGAGCTTCACCTCGAGAGTTGAGGTTGAACTTAAGTCTGCGTGCGTTTCAGTGGTCTGCCACTTTACAGTTAGTGTTATTCTCTCCCACTGCGTTCAGTCGCGTCCCGATAAGTCTTCCCGCTATCCAAACTTAATTACCTTGTCCGAAACTGCATCATATTCGATAAACGACTCCGGATGTGTCCCGCTTTGTCAGCGAGCCTTCCGGCCTCACGGATGACTGGCAGATGATATCCGAAACTTTTTCGAAATACACGATCGTTAGTCAAATTTGCGCCCCCACCTCGACATGTACCGGCTGGCGAAATTGAGCTGGTGGCCATTCGCCCTGAACAGTCATCAAAGGCATCGCAATTCAGCAAACGTGCTTGTAGTACGTCCCGGGGAACAAAAGTTCTGCTAAACCAGTCTAGTTTAATGTCTTTTTACATGCTCTCAGGCGTCCAGTTTTTCTCATGTTTCGACATTAGAGGACCCCGCCTAACCGAAGTTTAAGAGACAAATCCCGACGATCATTGCTGGTAAAGTGTCCTTTTCACTTTTTCAGCGATTCGATCAAGCCACTTTTGCTAACTCTTGTTATTCAAAGTAACTGGAAGATTCAGTTTTGATTCGGGAAGTTGACTGGCCCGGGATGCCTTGTCAGAAGCTCTAGTCCTGGGAAATTAACCAATTCACTGTACTATTTCTAAACTTATATTCCATCGGGGTCAGAAGTATCAATTTACTTGACGGGAACTCACGTGACCAATGATGAGTTTTTAATGGGGCGGTAATGTGTAAACTTGTTTAGCCTCGATTTTGATCACCTCACCGGAGGACCTAATACCAGTACGAATGGCCTTGAATTTTAGACGACCGCCTATTACCCTGATGGAGGCTGATCCGAACGACCTCACGGACTTCAGGGGTCCATTAAACTCACCGAGCTCCGGACGCTGCGCTGACATCCAGGCTGCCCTTGCGACAAAACGGGCTACAAATGCCCGTAAAATTCGCCACAATGTTCCTCGAACTGGGGATACGCTGGAGAGCCATATCGGCCCAGGCAGTAAGTCGCGCTAACAGAGTGCAGAAGCGCTCCTGTAACACTGTTCGAGGCATTTGAGTGGGCTTTTCAGTTGAGCCTTCTCAAAGACGTTTGTCGTGTACTCTAATATGGAAAGTAGTTCCAAGCCAACTAATGCACAACAGCATACTGACCTTTGGTTGGTTCGATTTTTGGTTCGTTGTTCAAAGTACACACCGGAAATCTCCCCGCTAAAGAAGTGTATGTCTTTCATGTCACTTTGGGTGGTTGTAGAAGAAACCCCCGTCTTAATTGCCCCCTTTGAGGTGGGAGTGGGATACAGGAACCCCTCATGAAACTTACGCCTAGAGTATCGTTGGTTACTTTCATTGTGTAGTTTGGATTGCTGTCCTCGAACGTTCTGTGCAATAGCGGTCAAGGTGCATGGCACGAGATTGCCTTCCTCGTAGACTTTTCGCCGAATACTATCGCCAAATTTCGATGAGTGCACCTTCTTTCACTCCGTATCGACCTGTCTTTTCGCTTTTTTATGTTGCGATTGCACTTGACAATACGACGGGCATTAATTCGCCTCCCGGTTACAAGGCTGAGAGGTGAACATGAATCTGGAAAAGTCTCCATCCTCGTGTACGTTTAATTTATCCCTTTCTGTCCACTGACCGATTTAGGTTACTTGCATCCGCTGCCCCCGAAACAACTCCACCGCTGTTAGCTCGTTGCATCTGATCCTTCATTCTTCTTGCATAGTTGTGTGCTAAGTTATCAGCCATAAGAACTTTCCGTTGGCTGTGGCCAACGACTTTTTGTCAATGTGTTATGATTTCCACCTTCCGTCATTTGAGGTGCGCAATTTGGTATGCAATCAGTATTAATGACTTGTCAGTCATGATTAGGGAAATTTGTTGGATTAGGAATGTCGATAGAACGTCACGAGGATTATTCTTAGGTAGTATTTTGGAATGACCTTTCAACTACATTAGCCTGTTTCTCTGACACTTGTATACTAGCCTACCTAAAAGCGCTTACTTTATGCGACCGGGTATCTTGTAGTAATATGAAAGTTTGGCTGCATACATCGTTTGCTTGTTCTCATTCTTGGAATTATACCTTCTTTTTGAATTTGCAGTTTTCTTATTTGGCTAAATAAATCTGCTTGCTCTTAAGTACTACTGAAGTTGTCAGCCAATAGCTGTTTTGTAGATATTTCCTTTTAGTACTGCCAACACTCTTCCTGTCCTTTAAACAACGGCGGGCACTGCATTGTGTGCATTTTATATCATAAGGGTTCCTTGTTTGAAGAAGAAATGCGCAGTTATATGTTTTTCGGTTATCTGTCATTATTTAGAAAGGCGCCTTTTAGGGAGGTAAATTCGTCCCATTCAGAACCCTTATTTCATTCGCTCTAGCAGAAGAGTTTTTGAGCCTGTCTTTTTCCATATGGGAGGAGGATCCTCATACTACACTCCACTCACTTTTCACTTTAAGAAAAGAATATTTAGGCTTTATAACTGACTGTATTATGGGCATTCAAATTACTGTATCAGATTTGGTGGATTCCAGACGTTGCAGGAGTTTGGGCGGGTAACTTGACCCAAATGTGATTAAACTCGCGTGGTCCGGCGGGGTCTCGTAGCTCAGGTGGTTAGAGCGTTGGCTGCGCTAAAACATTCCCCTTGTTGCGTTGGTTCGAATCCCACTGAGGCGCCGAGTTTTTCACAGCTATGGTAATATGAATTATTCAAAATATGCAAAATATCTATGAATTATCAGGCGGTCACTTGGGAAACCTATTCAGAAAGTAGTGAATACAAGGAAACCTCAGTCTAGGATCATGAAAAGTTCCGTAATTTCGTTTTAGGCAAAACATTTAGCTTTCAAAAGTAACTGTGGAAATACGTGTTCTCGGTAACTCATTGTCAGGCCGATACAATTACATATAAATTGAAAATATGCAAGATTCGCAGGATTTGTAAATGATTCAGGGGCTATAAGCACTCATCGTTCATTCACCATGCGCATGACGAGCTCCCCATGTTATGATCATCGGGGCAGGTTGGGGTGGGGAGACATGGGCTGTGATTGATGTTTGTAAGTCGAGTACGTGGAGTACGCATCACCGTCATCAGAAGGTTTGGGGTGACGGGCAATCAGCATCTGGGGTCGGAGTTGGCCACGGAAAACATAGCGCCTGTGTCAACGTATTCTGACCACATAGCACTGGATTCGCTAGCCGTAAAGCCATTGCCTCGGCCGTAGGCGTGGGTCTCTGGAGAAATCTGTTGGTGTCCGGTAGACAACACGAAAGGCTTCTTTGCCATGGACTCTGTGATTCCTATCGACAAGAGGTGCGAGAATAGACATCGAGATCGGCCTGTTTTCAACCCTACCTAGCCAGACCGGTATGTGTTCACATACTCTCTTTTCCAGGCGTCTCTTTGTACAGCCAATGTATCTCGCTCCGCAGGAGCAAGCGAATGAGTAAATGCACATTGGTGTGGCCTGCAACGGAAATAGGCATTTACCTCCCGGACGTAGGGGGGGGGGGGGAGTCTGTGATGATGTTCAGTTCATTATCAGTATCATTCATTATCGATGAACACTAGACAAGTACAGTGCGTGACCTATCTCATGAAATGTTGGCTGAAATTCTGAAATGCGTTTTCGATTAGGAAGGATTACTTGGTCGCGGTTGTAATACTGATTATCTTAAGGCATACTCTTATAACATTTTGGACTCGGCAGGATGTCGGCTTTTGAATGCACTTCTCTGTAATCGCCTGTAGAAAGCGCGCTTGGTAAAAAATGACTACTTAAGTAGCATGCATTTTTCCCATTGATTTTCGATGGTCTTGGAAATTCAAATATATTTTATAAAAACCACAAACAAAATATGCTTTCTTTTAGTCAATCAATAGAAAATCACGTCTACTTTATATTTTATACTTAAGGAAGGAGTACAATTAGGTTTTAAAAAAGTTTTCTAATTGCCGAAAAATTTGGAGCCTGATCATTCGTTGCATTAGCGCTTAGTGATTACACTCTACAAGGTGCATGCGTTCCGCGTAAAGAAAATCCCATATTTTTCTATGTCATTAAAGAGATATCATACAGGGTCCATAAAACTTTGCAATGGATGCGGACCATGTTGTACATTTCATGAGGAGCAGTGGTAAACGGCCAGGTACGATGCTATGTGAATGGACATATCGCGGTCTTAAAAAGTCTAATAATTAGAAACTTTTTAATACTCCTTCCTTAAGTATAAAATATAAAGAAGACGTGATTTTCTATTGATTGACTAATTGATTGATTGACTTTTGATTGTACATGTATGTAAACTATTTTCGTTACGATCACTGACTTCGTCATAATTTACGTCAATGTGAGTTCAACGTCCTTTACTTATACATCGCGCATAAACAAGAGTTTGCACAAGTTTACTTCGTAGAAAACTAACACGCCTTGGCGTGTTAACTTTGCACATTGTATTCGGAAAGGGTTAAGTGTATGCTCGAGGTAAGTAAAAAAACTATGTAGAACTGCCTACAATACTTTTAAAATTAGGTGTTTTCGGTAGGTTTTTGGTCGGCTCCTCGTCGACAAGATGACATTCACTGACTTGTATTCCTTCCCCCCCCCCCGAAGATTCGACGCGGCTGAAATGTCTACAGTGGTTCATTGTGCTGCGCCCTCCATACGTAGTTCTTTAATAAGAGGAAAGCCCAATTTTAAAAAATGTTCGGTAGTCAAGTTGTAAAAAAATACTCGAAATATTGTTGGGTGGAATTCAGACGTCTGTTAGTAAAGCAGGAGTGTTGAAACGCCGGCGCGTTTGTTAAACAACAGTTAGAATTCTCTTATCCCACGCATATGTTTTATTCCTACTTTGTATTCCGACAAAATTTCTACAGAGTTCTAGTTCCTACTAAAGGCCTTTCGCGTGGAGTTGCATCTTTTTCAGCACTGAATTTACCACTACTTCCATGTTCCCTCTTTGGGGCTATTCACGGTTGCCCTTCGGACAACTCCTATTCTCCTCACAGTTTTCCGTTTTTGTAACATTGCGTGCAACCTTACATTACGGCAAGCCAGTCATCGCCAATAACTGATGATGACTAATGCCCACTAGGAGCCATTTTTCGTCACTAGCTGGCGCGTGTGCGTTAGCGACAGAGCGAAGTCCGCCTCAAGCAGCAACTTATCGATCGACGTCTAAACTGCCCCAATGCCTGCCTGGGAGGAGTCATCCGTTGCAGTCGCCAGTCGGAAGTTCAGCTGCGTGGACATGCCTACGTCGGTCTGGTCTTGCGTTGGCCAGAGTTGAGCAGAGCCGTTGAATGTTTGAGCGTTGGCAAAGGCGCACACCCTCGTCAATCGAGTGCTTTATCGGCAATCGCCTCCCCCCCCCCAATCATGTGTCCCAGCTAAGCGGAGTAAGTCACGGGCAGCGCGAGCGAACCTCCCTTGGCACGCGACCGTTTGCACAGCGTGTGAATCAGGCGTCGGCTTGACGAAATCGTGGTGCCGACTGCTATTTCTCGCTTCATGGATCAGACGCCCGTTCCTACCTCATGCTGGTGAATAAAGCATCAGCGGCTGGCTTTCGGCTTGGACAGTTGCTGACACTGGCATCTGATCTCTGTACTCCCCGCTTACAGTAAAGATTGTCCTACTAACTCCGCCGCCCTAGCTTCTAATTTGGGAAATTTGTCGGCTAGATCTCAGTCGGTAGCCAGGCCCCGTATTACAGATGGCTGGGGGGTTTGTTTACAGGGGCTATTTTGTGGGGCTCCATAATCACATCTGACCCATTTGGCTTCCGTTTTACGTTTGAGGTTAGGATTAGGGTACCGGTTGATGGTTTTCGATTTTCGGTTTAGGGTTATGCCTTTAGGCTTAGGTTTTTGGGGTTACGGTTAGGGTTTGAGCGTACGATTCGGTTTCAGTATTACGGTTAGATTTTTCAGTTACAGCTATGCCTAAGGGCTACGGTTACGTTTACGATTTCGGTTAGGGTTAGGGTTGCCGGTATGGTTAACAGTTAGCGTTTAAGGTTGAGGTTAGGGTTAGAGTTAAGGTCAGAATTAGGGTTAAGGTCGCTGTCCGCTTCCCCATTCCTGACTACCAACTGCGATCTAGCCCATTTTTCGTTGTTGACCCATCTCCCTTTGACAACTGTACGGTAAAACTATATCGCACCCATTGGCAAGATTCTATTTCTTAGCCGTACCTGGTAGTGGTTAGGGTTAGGTGCTAAGGTTAGGGGTTATGGGTTAGGAGTTAGGGATTAGGGGTTAGGCTGAGGCTCATCTACTGCAGGCACGGCTGCGAACTAAGACCCGACTCACCCATGACTAACGCCACCTGCTTTGGGCTCCATCCAAGTTAAGGAAGCTACGTTTTGCTTTTTCAGCCTTTTTTAAAATCCTGTCAGAAATGAATGCGTTAACTTGGAGTAAATCCTTCGGGAAAAATTCTTCGGTCTCCGTCCGGAAATTCATATGAATATTCGAGCCGAAATCCAAAACATAGAGATCATTTCGAGTCTGTAATATCTAAAGTCTTATATGTTCAAAATATTCGCTACTCACAGCTACACGTTGCTGACAATGTTTAGGTATGCAAGAGTAGAGTCGTTAAAGCATACGTTGCATTCCTTAAAGTAACACGTGCATTAAACTCCACCTGTCCTATATCTGTCAGCCTCAGTGAATATTCAGTAGGTCCTGCCTGGAATAAACACCTACTAAGGAAACGATGATTTAGTATTTTAGTATTCTGATTACCCCCACTCCTAAGAAACAGAAAATTTCTGAACGAAAGCAAATGTAATGGGGTAGGCTATTAGCGTCCGTATGCCTTTGGCAAAATTCTACGAGTACCTAAGAGAAAAGGGAAAATCTAAAGACCTGCATGAATATTCTACTACAGCGTTTGAGGGATTATAGTTATTCTTTCGTTGCCACAATTTGGCGCGTGAGTACGGCGCCTCATTTCTTCATTGTTAAATTCGTTGGGAAGGACAGACGATGTCAGAAGACTTCATGATTGTCATCCGATCAAACTAAAAAGTAGCATGAAAACACTTCAGTTCGATGAGACTGCATGTGCAAAAAAGGACAATTGTTGAGTCTTTTTGTCAAATGACCTTCCGCAGGTGTTGCTTTCGGAAGAGCGACAACAGCCGTGCAAACGGGCCTCTACCTGGAGGAGTTGAAGGAGACGGTGGAGACCGACGACTTCTGGACGCAAACTGACCAGTTTCTGGACAGACCACCCTCGCCAGTCTTCGTACCGGCTAAAACGGGCATTGATGTTGCAACGCAGATCGAGCCCTATGATGTGAGTGACTGGCTTACTTGTGAATACCTTGAAATTGAATGCCATTGAAGCAAATGATGCCTGCGTGTTGCCTCTACACCAAGTTCACAATTTATGGCTGAGTTAATAGGCGTTTTGGCAGATTTGTGTAATGCACTTAACCAAATTGGGAAAAACGAGACGGACTCGCCGAGATTTGAGCATACGATGGCAGGGTCAAGGCACAAACCACCTGAGCTACGGTGGTCCGACCGGGAGGCGTGAGGCCAGTCACATCTGGGTCAAGTTACCCGTCCAGCCTACTGCAACGTCACGAATCCACCAAATCTGATACAGTAAGCTGACTGCCCAAACAAGATTTTCCAAGCAATGTGCCTAGAATTTGCCAGACACTACTGTTTATTTGTGCTTTGGCAGACTTGAATAACTGCCTTGATTATTTAGGAAATTCTGCTTGGACAGTCCTCTTACTGTATCAAAAGTAGTGGATTATATACTGGACAGGTGGTTTTGCGCAAATTTGACGGCCCCGGTCGGGTTCTCATAATGGAGATGGTTAGGGCGCTGGCCATACTCAAGCCCTGCACAAGCTGTTGTGGATTTGGATCCCAGTGAGATCGCCGATTTTTTCAAAATTAGTCATGCACCGTCCATTCAAATTCTTCTGACCCTTCTTCGAGTCAGGACGATTTGACGTGACATGCACTGCCTGTCTAGGGGAGATATTTGACAAAATAGCACCGCCAGTACTGTCCGCCCTAAGCTGACGCTTGTCAGCTCAAGTGTTCTGCAAACCGAAAAGGTCGAACATGCGAATATGGATCCCGCGTTATAATTTTGACCCTAATCCCAACACTAAGTTTCATACCGCTAACCCCAACCCTCTGGATTTTCGCGAATGATCATCTGTATTTAGAGATCCATATTCCCAGTAACAAGAAAATACGTTCGATGACAAGCGTCCAAGCGTGTGAGAAATGGTAACCATGGCCTTGATTCGAAGGCAGCCATGATAAAAATTTGAAAATCCGTAAACATGATCAGGGGCAATTTTTAGCGCGTGCTGGGAGTTTACCGTATTTGTTACACCCAGACCTACACATTCGCCGATGTTCTTGGCTGAAACTGACGTAAAGGACAACTTTTATGCATACGTTTTCGAAATCTGGGTAGGCAAAGTGAATTGGAGACAGGGCTTCAAGCAGTCAGTAAATTGTTGTCTTTAAAGTTTATCGATATCGATTGAAAGCTCTAGTGAGAAGGCGTGTTCCTGGGGGATGTTTATTGGATTGCTTAGGGTAGGGATGCGCGGAATTCGCCACTTTTTAGTACCAAGATTGTACATAGTTCGGACTCAAATTATAGCAAAGAACGCCAACTGCAGTAACAATTCACTCTTCTCTTACTTTAATATCCGATAATTGGTCATTTTCTAGTGCCGGTATGTAACTGGCACTTTAAGTATCCCGCTGCCTAGAGTCTCGAGTGAAAGATCGCCGACTGTTGACTTCCTCTAACGTTTCGTGTTATTGTGAGATATTTTTGCCTCTGGAGAAATAAACTTGGGACGGTTTCTAAATTCCGACGAAATTCTTCAATGCTCTTCACACTATGTTTCCTAGTTGTTCGACTTCAACATTGAAGTTAAGCCGATTCTTGAAGTACTGGTTGGGAAGACAATTGAACAGGCCCTCCTTGAGGTCATGGAAGAGGAAGAAATAGCAGACCTTCGGAAGGAGCAGGCGATTCTGCAGGAAATTCATAACGCAGACCTCGCCGAAATTGCTCGTCTAGAGGAAAGGAACAGAAGATACAGGTAAACCTGTCACTTTCCCCCCTCCGAAACATGAATCGCTACTAACTCATTATTACTACGTACGTAGTTATAATTATAATAATAGCGACACAAGTGAGTGTTTGCTTTTATCCTGAAGAGAGGAACAGGCGCGACGACGAAAGCAGGCCGAGCACGCGGCCATCTTGCGACAGGAAACAGCCGATAAAATCGCCGCTCGCTGCTTCGTAAAAGCCTACCTGGAACCGCTGCTTCCGACAACTTTCGAACAGCTCATGGAACGCGGATACTTCTATGATGCCGTTCAGCACGGTGAGTCAACTCTAGTACACCACTCAATGACTTAAAAACACACTTTCCGTTTTATTGACCACGAAATGATTGGGTTGCCAGTTCCAGACGATCCCTGTCTCTCAGGTAGCCCTAAAATGCTGAAGACAAATGATGTTGGGGTTCCTAGATGACATAAGCAGAAGACCTTTACTCATCGCCGAAGAATAAGACACAATAGCGGGTCATATTCGTACATCCTGTTTTAACTTCACAGTCAGACTGTTTCAGATTTACGGAATTTCCGGAGTTCTGACATTGCAATGCATGGATAGCAGGCACAACAATTGTCTTCCAAAAATTTCAGGACGTTTAGCTCAGTATTCGCATTATCTAAATCCTTTTAAATTGTCATTCTCAACGGAGTCAGCATAAAACTCAGAAAGTATAAAGCTCCGTTATTAGAACTCAGTATCGAAAAGGACCCTTTGTGATTACGTTTCCTCTCAAGATAAGGCGTGAACGCACCAACCTGTCTCATAATTTCGTGAAATTTTGGCCGCACTCGAAAAGAATTCAGCGTTCGTTTTGTGAAAGCGTTATAGTTTCTTGCTTTGTTTTTTATTAGGAAGGTGAAAAAAATCTCATGATCGACGCAGGCTATCAGTGATACTTGACGCCCGATCGGAGGCTCGTAGCTCAGGTGGTTAGAACATTGGCTGTGTTCAAGGCTTGCCCTTGCTTTTGTGGGTCCATTGATTCGTATCCCATTGAGACTGTCGGGTTTTTCACAATTAGGCAAAATGAATCATACTAATAACGCGTTTGTGGCTGCTTTAATTCGTCTGGATGCACTCATGGGTTTTAAACCTTCTCCAACGTGTAAAAGTTTGAGCTCCAGGTTTAACTCGTTGATTAGCCGAATCCCTGAATCCATGAGGAAAAGACTCCTTTCTAAGATAGATTGATTCTCTAAGATACCGAGAGCTCAGGCTAATACATGCATTGTCCCGGTGATCGGACGTTCATCTTCTTTGCAACAAGAGCCTGGGACTCGCATACTTACTTCCCTTCGAGATTAATTCATGTTTATGGCATGTCCACGTGAGTCACTTTCTCCCTTTTATGACGCCTGCATTCGTGCAGAGCAAACCAGTCACCCATGCATAGTGTTGCGCAATCACCCAGCACAAATCATTTTTCATAAGCAAATAAGATTTTTGCCCACTTACCTTTGAAGTTGTCTCCATTTCCGGTTCAATATAAGGTGTACAGTCTGCTTGATTTTGAAGAATCTGCATTACTTATTATTTACTCCTCAAATCTCCGAATTTACCTGATAATTTAAATAATGTCCTCTCCAGAAATCGATGAAAACTTCTATACACCCATGTTGGAGAACGTCCTCGACAACAACGTCCGTGAGCGCCGCGCACGAATTTTGGTGGATGGCCTCATCCAAGAAGTAAGTTTATGTTACCACTAAGATCTTGCTAGTGCTGTTGGTGGAGCAGAACCGAAGAAAACCACGTGGGTAAATTCAAATGAGTTAACGTTGCCTACTTTATTCATTAAAGTAGCCAGACGTTTGAAACTTAAAATAGCCCAGGCGGGAGGGCCTTCCCTCTAGCGAGCGAAAGCAAACTGCCTCGGTCAAGTTGAATTCGAGAATGACTTCGAAACTTATTCCTAATATTCCATCCATCGAATAAAAGCTAGTCTCCATGACCAACTGAGGACCCAATCTGGCTAGTAGTTAGACTAGAGCGCCGTATAAGCGCGAGTTACTTCGTCCCATCAGCCTTATCGGCTGTCTCTTATATGCTATGCCCGGAAAGAGGTATCACTCAGCGCCCCCCGGCGAAAATGGTAAGGTAAGATTGCATGCGTTCCTCGTATTACATGCGGTCTTGCGCTAAATTCCTGAGGGGATTAGGGTTGAGGGTTAGTGTTAGGGTGAGGAGAATCATGGCCGATGCTGGGACACAAAAAACAGGTACCCGCCCTGGAATTCAGCACAAGGTGACCTACAGTACGAGGAGGGTTGCTTGCGCCCATGTTCAGCCACGAATATGATGCTCAGGGTCGCAACTCCATACCGTAAACCATGAAGCATAGCCTGTTATCAGTGAAAGTGCGAAAGTAGCATAGGACGGACGGTCAAGAAGCCATGTCCGTGTTTTTGTAGTGTCGTTCATTTTCGTCCATCCAAAGAGACCACGCCTTGGTCGCAACAGTTTGTCTTATTGTAAGGCCTGTAGTAAATCTGAGCACGACTTAACCCTGCATTTGAAGGTTACACGAACTGAGGTTGTAAGGGACCATGTTGTAATGTTTGCACAACAAACCGCACAGCAAGTGACGACATAATGGACAATTTAGAATTAAACTTACACGCCCCTTCATACATGCAAACACACACACACAAATAACACAATGTTGGGCATCGCATTAATCGCCTTACGGGACACACTGCTGCGTCGGGAACGCTCATAGGGAATTTACAAACAAACACGAAATTTGCACTTTTTATCCGATAGTCATATGAACCACCTGTATTTTTCGAAAAAATTGTGTTTCGGCGATGGTGCCTCCTTCTTCACAATTTCCATTTTATTTTCTATTTGCGTCGTCTTAAATTCATTGTAGTCTTTCAAACATATAAATCAGTTCGCTTCTAAGCGACCTCCGAGTTCTATATTTTTTAACCATCTCATATAATCTGGTGTAACTATAAAGCTTTTTCACTTGCTTTGGCATTTATGAAACTGTGTAAGGTTGGCGCATACAATCATAATGTCGTAAAAGACGGCAAAATTAAATGGCATTTCTTCGTTTGTTGCCAAACGCCTCTCTCTGACGAAGACGAAGGCACGATCACTGGGACGGTAGATTTACTGGCCTTAGCTTTTGAACTCGAACTGGAGTTCATCATCAGAGACTGCTAGAGTGCAGCGACGTGTGAACACTTATATCGTTATTTCGTGAGGGGAGGGGGAGACTACGTCCGTGGCCAGGTCTATTTTATACCGCCTGGTCCACAATGGTTCCCCTGCGAAGTGACGCCGTTTGTTCTTCGCCGCGATGTGATCTGCGCTACCTGGCTGAGTGGGCGGGCAAATCGATGTGCCTATTGATAGAGTCGGTGTCCGACACCCACGCCTCCAACAGTTCTGGTCCCGTCTTGTTGCCGGTTCGCACAGTATCCGCGTGTTGGCAAAGCCGAACTCATGGCCTTCCTCCAGCGTGTGAGTGGTGATTCGAGACGCAACGTATAAATGTTCACACTTTGCTGCACTCTAGCAGTCTCTGATGCTGAACTCCAGTTCGAATTAGAAAACTTAGGCCAATAAATCTGCCGTCCCAGTGACCGCTCCTGCGTCTTCTTTTAAACAAGAACCTCTTCCCGTCTCCGCATGCGGGGCCTCTGAATTTTCATTTCGTTTCGATTCTGTCAAGGCAAACAGACGATGCATAACATCCTCCCCACTCTTTTTCTAGGCCGTCACTCAACGCTATCAGGCCTTCCGTGAACTGGGTCGAGAACTGATGACGGAGGTGTGTGTGGAGAGGGTTATTCCACAGTTACGGTGTGTCATAAACTTTTGGGTCTTTGATCGCATGAACAAGCTCGCCTTCAGCCGTCTTACAACCGCTGCCGATGCCAGAAAGAGCCTCTACGCGGACATTAGTGAAAGCGTCCTTAATGAGGCTCTGGACGAGTTTGCTGTGTACTATGAGCAGCAGTTGATAGCTGCTGCAGCCGCCAAGGCTGCCGAGGAGGAGGTGAGTACCTCTAAGTTCATTTCTTGCTGCATCAAAACTCGCTTCTTTATGGTACGCCTTAATTCCACTCCCTTTTCTTTCGTTTCAGGACCAGTAGGAAGACCTCGCCTAGCGCGAAGAGCGAGCGCGAATATGCATCTGTTCATATAATCTCCCTCCCTTCCCATCGGATGAAAAAGCTCCTACGATTTATACCTCCGATATTTTGCCGGTTTTAGGGCCCTCTTCATCTGTTAACAACATTGATAGTTGCGAAGCTTGCTAATCGAATTATTAGCGGAATATCATCAGTCTGATGCAACTTTGTGACTTTGCTCTCCTCCACGTTACCGTGGATATTGAACTGTTTTAGCATAAAGAGAAACTTGTCCTAGGGAATTTGCTGCCATTCGGCTAATCTACAGTCGAAGGAACGTTCAGCAAACCTTGATCATCATATGTTAGGATAGATTTTTGGATAGGCGTCTAACTCCCGGAAAAAGGCAGTCTTATTCCAAGTCGTCTCCACGACATGCATCTAAGTCCTATTCACTTCACCTTCAAACGTTAAAATATATCTTCCCTGACTAAAAAAAAACAAAATGACACCGCCCTGCCTTGAAGACGACATTTAGAGTTGCACAAGCCTTGTTTAGGCAACCAAAAACCCTGTACTGAAAAAACTTAAGTAATAAATTCATATTTAAACTACCATAATCTAATACTTTTGCGTATGTGAATATTTTAGGTGACTTCTCAACCTCAGACAACTGGGGGCCGAAAAGGTGGCAAGCATTGAGTTATTTGCCCTTTTCCATCACCGAGAACTTAAAGTCGATTGAAAAATGTCCTCGCGAGACGATAAGAAAAAAACCATGGCTGTATGACACATTTGCCCTACGCATGCAATGGGCGCCACTCTGAAAACCCCTCGTACATCGCTGTTGTACTGCCCGCCTACCGGACACGGAAAACAATGCCCTTACTGCTCAAAAAGTGAACATGACTTGGTATTCCCATGAATACTTGTGGTATTTAGATACCAAAGAATTTGCCTCTTGTAGAATCCCTTGTGTTCCCAATCTAACGACCTGGTTATCGAGCACACGGATTTTGATTAAGTGTTCGACAGAAATATGGAACTTATTCCGGCCGCCAATTCCGTTTGGACGAGACCGGTTATCGGTTTGACGCTCTCTCACTCCTCTGGCGCCCCCAAATTGGATGGGTTAATAAGTCAATCAGACTTTGAGTTACGTTGCACGTCATGGTATCGTCACTGTTACTTCAGTTATTCAACCACTGGTTAAATCGAGGAAAGATCTCATATCTACTTACTACAGCCATTATTTGTGATCCCCATGGCTTGTAGATGGTTTGTCGACTGACAAACTCTCGAAAATATTAGTAGACACAGAGTTTAGGAAATATTTTATCCGAAGCTGCTACTAAATGTTCAGCACTCGGTAGGAAACACCGAAAGAAAGGATGAAAATAACACACATGTAATCCTTCGTAGTATGACCTGAAAATTCAGTTTGCGGTTTAGAGAATGAACTTTACTATGGAAAACTCTAGTTTGGGGAAGGATAATTAAAGTCTTAACAGCATCGCCACATGTAAATGTGAATTTTCTCCGAATGAACACAGGTACAAATAGTACGAAGGCACTCGTTTCGATGTTATAGCCTCTAGTTAAGTGTGATAAGGAAACGGCAAATGAAACTGTACAAAAAGCATTAAGGTGAGAGATGTTAAATAATACGTCAGTAATGTTTGTTACTAAAACATAGTTAGTAGCAAGTATTTTCGCGTGGTAGAATGCTCTGGAATCTGGAGGGGAGTGGTTGAAATGGGCGGAACAAATGCAGAGCAATAATCCAGGTATGACACTGTGAAACCTTTTACGGTCTAGACCTCTTTACGTAAAGTGCTGCGGATAACCATCGTAGTGACTGTACCTCCTTGAGGTAGGTGCTTTCTTGGCTCCTGCGAATGACACGGCTCTGGCATACTGAGAGGTTGAAGACAAGAATAGCAAGTACACAAGTTAAGAAAAGTTTAATTTGATGGAAAAAGGACCGAGATCTACGCAAACTGGATGAAGGAGGCGAATCACAGACGGAGATCATTACTGCTGTAACTCATGGTTTAGGAATTCAGTCTAGCACAGTATTTACTCCACATTTTTAGTTTTCGACTAGACCAGAGAACCATGGGTTACCCTATTTCACAGGAAATGACTCTATGTCTATCGAAGCCTCATTAAATGTAAAACAATTCCCGGAGTCCAATGAATGTATCGCTGGAACATTAAACTCGCATACCCCTACTAACCCTATTCTGCATATATCGGTTAGAACAAAAAAGGAATGCATCAGTAGTCGTAGATATTGCTGATGTTGTTAGCAAACGGGCGATTGCAGTAACCAGAAAACGCTCACCTCCTTAGCTTTAAAGAACGGCCCAAAAGATAACACTTCGACAGGTCTGCCGAGGGGATTCGGGCTAATTCCCCCATTCTCCGAGGCCTTTCTTCCACAGAACTCAATATGTTGCAAAGCCACCTTCTGACTGAAAGTGCGGTAGCAGTTGGCACATCTAAAAATGCCTTTAAAAAAGCGGAAAATAACACGCATTTAATGGATTTTGAAAATTTCGATTTAAAACGTCCTCGGTTTGGGTCTGTTCTTAGGTGTTGTAACGGAATAATGACTGATACTTCGTAAAAAGCATGTCTGACTTGCAGAACAAATAAATCCTTTATACACCAAAACCAGTGCTTATGTTGAAAATTTGATATCCTTGAACATTTAAAGCATCCAGTGGACATCATTAACTGATTCCTTCAAAAATAACGCGGGGTTCTTACCCGGCTTGCCAATGAGAGGAAGTAGTTGTACTCGCACGTCACTGGATGGTTGAAGGTTGTTCAATGCTTCTCGAAGTCTCTCGAGGACTAGCGCGTTTACGCCTCTTCTGGTAATCGAGCTCCTACGACGCCGTAGGCGCAGCTCGGCGAGCGTGTTTGCATGATCTCCCAACCAGTTGAACTCTATTTACGATGATAATAGCACTTCTCAGATAAGGAAAATCACTCAACACTGACTGATTTAACACCAACAGGTTTTGATCGGCTGCAGAGAGCGAGCCGAGGCTGGTAAAGCCAAAAGACAAAATCAACACCATAGGTACAATTTCTTCGACTGTATTCACGTTTGAAAAAATAGTGTTGTATATATTATGGCTTAGTTCCAAGCCAGCATTCCCTTTCAGGCAACTCCCCAAGTAGTTGTGCGAGAACCTGAAAAGGGGAGAGTTCGTCTGCAAGGCATTATTTAGACGAATTTGCCCGAGTTAGAAGTAGCTTTTACGATCGGGTGACTGTGTTTCGTCATTCTTTGTGAGGATAGGAGGAGGAGGAGGAAGTGTATCCGACCGCCTGAAAGAGGTCCTGCTTCACTGTGTAAAAAAGGTAAAAATCACGTCTGCCGTCTATTTACTGCAATCTCCACAGAATGAAAGCCTCCACCTTTAAGTACGTGCAACTTGAATGGGAAATCGGCCAGGGTATTGGAGATTTTTGAAGTTAACAGGCAAAAATAGATACCCTATGGTATAGGGCGCTCACCGAACGCGCTACCGGACATACGCGTCCCGTTGTGCTTAGAAGCTCGGTTTAGAGCCCCGAAGGCAGTCACACGGCGCATACGCCTTGTTTCTAGAAAATAAAACTGACAAAAGTTTCCGAGTTTACAGCTGATCACCGTTTTTATGAGGTTACAGACCGATTCCAGCGGCGGAAAGCGGCATTTTACCTGCGTTTCTCCTCTTCGTCGAAAACCCTAAGAATCATACACAAACTCAGACACTTTCTTTCAGACTACACCCCCTTTATCATGGCTTGTCGTGATGCTGTTCGGACAAAAATGTGAATGTAAAAACTGTCCGCATCGAACTGCATTGCATCCTTTAAAAGCCCGTAAGGCACAACGATACGAGTGAGTTTCGTGAGAACGATCGGTGAGCGCCCCCTACCATTGTATATTCCCGATCGAAAACCGACAAAGCAACGGTCTCGTGATCCAGTGGTTAGAGGCGTGGACTTCTAAATAACAGGTCGCGAGTACGAGTCTCGGGTGTTCCACACTTCGGGATTGGGTATGGCTGGCTGACGACTGCTAACAAGCCAGAAATGGCCATTCCAGTCTCCCTTGTCTTTGTCGGTAATGCCATTCTGCCTATACCATGCACCGCTGTGCGGCTGCTGGTTAGGCTCGAGAGAGAGTCCGTAAGGCACAACGGAACGAGTGAGTTCCGTACGAACGATTGGTGAGCGCCCCCTACCATTATATATATATGGATAAAGGCGAAAATGCCGACCCCAGGTATTGAGATGGAAGAAGGTAAAGAGATCTCTGGGGAGGATGATTTATTCATCTGACGTTTCACACTCATACTTGAGCGCATCATCGGAGATAGATTAAAAGTGGGAATACAAGGTTTAAATAGGTCTTTTTTACTCACTACTGATAGGTCCATCTCCTCAGCCGAGGTAAATGCCACTAAAGAATTAAAGAGGGACGAAGACATTGTGATTGTCCCAGCAGACAAAGGACGGGCAACCGTGATCCTAGACAAGTCAGAGTACGTAGCGAAAGCTCAGGAGCTACTCAACGATAACCAGTCATACAAGGTCATTGACTCCGATCCCATGAAAACACTGGTGACAAAAATCAACAAGAGTCTGAGTCTAATGAGGAACCAACAGGCAATATCTGAGACCGATTGGCGACAGATGAAACCACAAGATGCTGCCATAGCACGCTTCTATGGTCTGCCAAAGATCCACAGCCCAAACGTCCCCTTACGGCCAATTGTGGCGCTGAAGGGCACACCTACCTACGGTCTGGCTAAATGGCTTACCAACCATCCGAAGAAGCTGACGGAGGGCTCAGAACACACAGCTGTATCCCCAACACACTTCCTGGAAAGACTCCGAGGCGTCAAAATAACCCCCGACGAAATAATGGTGTCCTTCGACGTCGTCTCTCTTTTCACCTCCATCCCTAAAGAATTAGCCACGGGGGTCATAAGTGACCTACTGGAGAGGAGGTACGATGAAGAGGAAAGACGTCTGAAAAGGAAGCACATAATGGAGCTACTGGACTACTGTTTGAGCACGTACTTTACGTTTAATGGCCAGGTGTACGAGCAAATCCAGGGAACTCCGATGGGATCACTAATCTCCGGCTACCTAGCTGAGGCGGTTCTACAAGAACTGGAAACACGGGTCTTTCAGTCCTACATGCCAAAATTCTGGATGCGCTATGTGGATGACACCTTTGTCATCCTACCTCGAGACATGAAAGAGACGTTCAGAAGCAAATTGAACTCAATTTTCCCCCAAATTCAATTCACAATGGAGGAAGAAAAAGACGGAGAAATCCCCTTCCTTGATGCCCAGGTGTCGAGACAGGAAGACGGAGCCCTCCAAACTGGTGTCTTTCGAAAGGCGACCGATACGGCGAAAATCCTCCATTACAGCAGTAACCACCCCTTGTCACATAAGCGCAGTTGCGTGCGGACACTCTTCCTACGCATCAACACACACTGCAGCACAGAGGCTGAAAAGCGGCGAGAGCGTAAATCCCTATGGCGTCTCTTTCTCTCCAATGGGTACCCACGTAGCCTCATAAACAAATGCCTGTATCAAAGGCACACGAAGACCGACGGTGAACAAAAACAAAAACCTGAATTCTTTCGTGCTTTGCCCTACGTGAGTGACGTTTCCGAAACCACTGAACGCATGCTCAGACCACTCAACGTGGGCCTTGGACACCGGCCGGAGGTCACTATCCACCGCTTGCTCATGCAGCCCAAGGGGCGGCTGCCACCTGAGGACACGTCAGGAATTGTTTACCGCGTCAACTGTCTAGACTGTCCGGCCAATTATTGTGGCATGACCGACAAACGATTAAGGTCGCGCATGCATGAGCATTCTCTAGCTGTAAAGCGAAAAGATGTACGATCACATGTTGCTATGCATAGCCTCGAAAATGCCCATCAATTCGGCTTCGACACGGCAGAAGTAATCGGCCGAGCCGAAAGCAAAATGGCGAGAGAGATAATCGAAGCCTGGCAATCCAACGCCAACTCGATCAACCGTAGAATCGACCTACCGGCGCCATATGAGGCCGTCAGACACCACTTGAGCAGGAAGGGAGGACCAATGGGAAGAGAGAACAATGGACCTATCAGTAGTGAGTAAGAAAGACCTATTTAAACCTTATATTCCCACTTTTAATCTATCTCCGATGATGCGCTCAAGTATGAGTGTGAAACGTCAGATGAATAAATCATCCTCCCCAGAGATCTCTTTACCTTCTTCCATATATATATATATATATATATATGGCAAACACATTATACTGTACTCGCGATATAGGCACTAAGTAAAACCCCAGACGCGTGTTTCGCCCATATTCTGACGCTGCGGGACACAGTTATATATAAATTTATAGTTTATTTCACCTTCCAATCAAGACAACTCCATATGCAAATGCCGAGAAGATTGTAATCCATCTGTGAGAAAAATTAGGCTGATCGAGCGAACTAGATGTGGTTATTTAAATGTGGGCACAACCTCCTAGAACTCTGTGACGTAAATGGTCTGTGTTTTTTGCACTCGGGCGCACTTTGACAGGATCAGGGCCATTGGTCGGGTTTTATTTGTTGCCTGGTTTCCATGGCATCAGTGGCTGTACATCGTTGGATGGGTCCAGCACGTGTCAAAAAAACCCGCAGCCGGAGCAAGATGACGCAAAATAACAGAGTTCATGTACCATTTGAGCATAAAGATTGGGCCAGGGTGTGAACCGAGAAGAAACTGGTATCTGCTTCATCTCATGAAATGTTAGCCGGAATGTGTTCTCAACAATAGAGAATTTCTTGGGCGGAGTTGTAGTACTGATCCTCATACAACATGGTCTCAAGATATTTTAGCCGGCTTTTGAATAGGCTTCAATCCCTGCGAATATCCCGCCATAAAAATGCCTACCTGAGGAGTAGGAATTTTTTTCACTGATTTTGGGTGTCCCTGTATATTCAAGTATACCGTATTGAAAGCACGCACAAAATATTCCCGTTTGTATATGATTGGTGAAAAATTGCATCTTCTTCAAAATTTCTACTTGATAAAGGTATGTCTAAATAAGAAAAAAGGCCTAAACCCATGAATGATTTTGAACATGACCTGCAGTTGCATATAAGCGAGTGATTTCCAAGCCACATGCTGCATGCATTCCGTGTAAGGAAAATGGTAAATTTGTCTACGCTACGGAGACGTTTGAAGACGTAATCTGCTACCATTTTGTGCTTGTTTTCCACAAAATACAGTCGGTGGGCTTACTCCTGAAATGTTAACCGAAATTCCGAAATGCGTTTGCATTCCGAAAAGATTAATTAAGTAGGTCTGTAAAACTAGTCAGCCTGCAATATAATTCTATAATATTTCAGTTACTTCAAAATGCCGGCTTTCGAATGAACTTCCGTCCGGCTGCAGGCAAAAACTACACTCCGTAAAAAATGACTACTTAAGAAGCATGAACTTTTCTCATTGATTTTCGATGCCCCTAAAAGTCCAGTTTTATTTCATGGAAAACGTGCATAAAATATTCATTCTTTCGCTCATGAGGTAGAAAATTACGTCTTCTAATTTTAAAATCGAAGGAGGGACATAATTCGGTTTTAGAGAAGTTTCTAATTGTGGGACTTTTAAATACCATGAAATGGCCGTTCATAAATCGTCATGTTTCTGGATTTACCAATGTGCCTTGTAAAATTAACAATATTGAATTAAATCAACTGCTATATTTTATGAACCCTATATGGTACCCCTTTATTAACGTAGAGAAATGCGCGCTTTTCCGTACGCGGAAAATTTGCGGCTTTTGGTTTGAAAATCATGAATCCAAGTGTAACGGCAGAGCGGGTTCAAAAGTATTCGAGAATAGGGAAAGTTTTTAAAGCCGAATGATATCTATCCTTAGAGTTTAAATCTGGAAGAATTGATTTTCTACCAAATGAGCGAAAGAATGAATATTTTTATGCATGTTTTCATGAAATATAATTTGACTTTTAGGAGCGTCGAAAAGTAGTGAGAAAAATGCATGCTACTTAAGTAGTCATTTTCTACAGAGTGTTGTTTTTGCATGCAGCAGGAGGGAAGTTGGTTCCAAAGCCGGCATCCTGAGGTAACTGAAATATTATAGAATTATGTTGCAGGCTGACTAGTTTTACAACCCCACTTAATTAATCTTTCCGAAGCGAAAACGCATTTCGGAATTTCAGTTGACATTTCATGAGTTAGCCCACCTACTGTATACGTGAATTTTCAAGTGAATCGAAAATCAATGAGGAGAATGCGTGCTGTGCAATTAGGGACTTTTTATCGAGTTTGGTTTATACAGGCAGCCAAAAGAAGCTGCTTTAGAGGCCGAAATCCTGAAACTACTGAAATACCTTGAAATTACACTACTACATTAGTAGTATTAAAACACCACCTAAGTGATAATTTCAGAGTTTAGGTAAACATGTCATAAGATAGGCCATATAATGTAAGCCGGGTAGGTTGTGAGGGAGCAACGGGACGATTTACCACCCACACAGTATGACAGTTCAACGTCCACCGCAAGATCCACAGCGGTGTGAAGACAGGAATGGTGAGTTGCGCGTGATTTCTACCACAATGATTGCATGCTTACGCGGGGTTTACTGCACTCTCTCCTCCCTACTTGGACCAGGTGTCATGAAGGGCGGAGGACGCAGGCGGCTGGCGTGGCAGATTACCGCACCTAGGCGTACCGCCACACCCCCTGGTTAACAACGTACACTTACCAGAATTTTACATCTAGAAAATAAAGGAACGGCTCGGATCCCACAGAATAAGATTGTCGAAAGGCCTCATTAAGAAGAAACCATTGTGGCCTGACTCTCAGCCCACCAGTCGGCCACTGCACACAAACACTGGGCGGACTGTGAGGTCCGACCTATCCCGTCAGTTGGCCGCCCTCCAAGCCACGGCTTTTAGCGCACCTTCCGGCTGAGAACCCAGTGCGATTCCCTGCCCACATCACTCCTCACACGCTAACGGTCCGCCCGTCAATGTCTGTCCGGTCGTGTCAACTAGTCTAGTGTGACTGTCTCACTTTCTATTTTATCTTCATTGCGTCCGACGACGGGTTGGTGTTACCAACTTGAAAATGTACGAGTGCAACTCGATTTGTCCCGAAGAACCCCTTCTTTTTTAATAATATATATATATATTCGTCCCCGAAAATCTACTTCAAAATATTAAACACGTATGATTCACTTACGAGAAAGACTATTGACCATGCACAAGAGTCGAAAACATATTACGATACGGACATTTCTCAAGTTCTAACTGTATTATTTCCACAGCTATCCGAAAGAATGTGTTTAGCACCACCTGAGTAGTTTTCCTCAACCGGAAACGCATCTTAAAATGTTGGTTAACACTTTTTGATGTTCTCTGCATACGATACAGACCAAAGTAGAAAACAACATGTAGTAGTCCGCAGGGTGCCCC